CCTAAAGAAAGCCTTTGAGCATAGTTGAAAGTGAGGTTTTGTGACGAATTTGCAGTTTAGTGCTCCTAATCCTTGCAAGCATCTTGGATTTAATGATAATTTTGTTTAATGTGGATGACCGTACATATTTTTGCGAAGGATTGACTGTTTTTTATCATTACATCCATTTTTAGTGTTTAAAGTGACTACCATGTGCTTTCAAGGCTACACGTGAACGAAAATACAATTAAAAATATAGTTAGCAAATGAGCTTGTAGTTGGGAAAAATCTGTCAATGTTTACATCGAAGTTCAATTTCTAACTTTATTGTATGAGTGTGATATTCTGCTTAAAAGGTATTGGCTCCTTCTCTTTCTTCAGCAGGCACCGCGGAACAGGGAGGCCGGGGGGCCTTAGCTTTTTGTTAAAAATGCAAGATATTAAAAAGTGAACCACCAGTAAAACCTCTTTCTATTCGGTTTTAGCCCCGCAATTTTTTAGACCCCCACTTTTTTAACGCTCCGCGGTGCCTGTTCAGTTCCATCAAAATATTAAAGACTTTTTAGCTCATCTGAAACAGATTTTTTGTATAATATCAAATGACTTAAACCCAGCAATAGAATATGCAATTGAGTAAATGGCGGGGAGAGGGTTGTTGCGGATCCCACTTCTGAAAAACAATGCCCTAGAGATTTTTCAGAATTATGAAGAAATTTGAAGGGTTTAGGGTACACAAATAGTTTCCTTTTTGACATCATGGAAGGTGCTTGCTGACAATCAATGCAACAAGAGTTTTATTCCATTCAATAGGAAATTGCTGATTTTTCCGGGAAAATAGAGAGCATTGCTATGCATATTTTTGCTTGTATGTTTGTATTTTTATTTTATTTATTTGAATGTTAAAGGCTATGTTTCCAAGCCTCCCTTCATTTCAGGAGTCGTGTACGCCAATGTTTCCCAAATATCCTCTCTTTGACCCAACAGTACCCTTGATGCAAGTTCCTTGGTGGAGTTTTTATCTTCTCTTTAAATTTTTTCTTTGCTAGAATTTTTTACAGCCAACTTTCTATTATATCTGAAGCTACTTTGAGACATAATCAAAGTGTTTTTTCCTAGTTTGTATTTTCCATTGTTTTGTTATTTCTTTTATCTTCTCTAAGTCTGCAAATTGTATAAATTATAATCACTCACACATAGTTTCTGAAGAAGAGCTTTTTTCCCTCTTTTTGATTTCTTACCTCGTCAGTTCCTTCTACCCTTCAATTTCTTTTTATATTTTATTTCAAGTTCAATCTTCGCTTGACACGTCTTGAGGATTCTCTCCTTTCGTCCCAAGCCACTAAAATCGCTGCTCTTATTATTACATCTGAACCTATGCTCCCACCTGAATTAGCCAAAGGTACCTCGGCTGATAAATGAACCTGTTTTGATTTTTTTGCTTTTTGTCATTTGTCATATTTTCTCCCCAGCACTCTTCTTTCTTATTTTATACGGCTGACCTCCAGTACCATTTTATCTTTCGGACATTTTTGTACATTGATATCCAACAATTTATCCAACATCTCTAAGCCACATTCTGTGTCTAAACATAACTTTGATTTTGTTGATGCTCCACATCCGTCTTTCATCGTGTCCTAACAGTATTTTGCAGAGACCCTCACATATTTTTTTTCCTCGAATAAGAGAATATTACTCCTAATTTAATGTCACCATAGACATTTCTCCTAAAAGCGAATTTTTTAATCTTTCAGAACAAAAGTAACCCAATTGCTTCCTTTTAATATATAAATCCTATCTAAATCTTGTTGGTTTCTACATAGCCTTCGAGATTGTTTTAAATGCTAGTGACATTACCCTCAGCAAATAAAAAAGCCATGATAAATGTTAGGAAGTTGGCTTTCCTGAAAGTCTTACATTACATCTTGTCAACTTTTTCCTTAACACAAGAAATATTTATCTTTTCTCCTCATTCTTTGCAATTAATGAGACGTTGCCAAGATTTTGTTTCGTTCTTAAGGCAAAACAGAACTTTCCGTCACTTTTTTGGATCAAAGAGGGCTTTTAATTCCTGAAATATAACAGAAGCTTGAAAGAGTCTTGATCCCAAAAGCTGAAAATAAAATGTCTTTCCTCTGTTTTCCGCAGCCACCATTCTCTAGATCTGGTCTGGCGGTCATTGGATCAGGGGCATCACTTGCTGAGGAGGGGGGGGGGATGAGGGGCGTTATTGGGGATGGTTCACCCTCCTCAACAACGAAAGGAGGACCTTCTGGCAGGGCAAAACTGATTTTTGCAGTAAAATAATTCTCTCTCAATGGATCTCCTTTGTTGTTTTTCTTATATAACTGTAACAAGAAAGTAGGTTTTGCTTAGAATTTGTCTCTTCCAAAAGTAAGATGAAACAGACTATCAGTGATACTGAAGAGGAATTGCCAGCGTGAGCTTTGGCTGGATAGAATAGATTTCTACATAGATTCTGATTTCCTTTCACTGTGGACTTCGGTGTTAGCACCGCTTGCTAGAAAACTAAGAAAAAATGGTGTAATCCCAACCGGGGGTTGCCACACAGCCTTGTGGCGGAGATATCTGGAATCAATGTTGTCGTTAAAGTAGAATTAATGTTGCTTTGGTGCCGAGGATGGCTTCGTGCTTGGAAGGGAACACAAAGTTGAGCAATCTCTGTGTCTGAAACAGGGGCGTCACTTGATGGGGGTATAGGGGGGTGGTTCACCCCCCCAAACACAAAATTAGAACCTTTTCGCGGGGCGGAACGATCTGTTTTGTTGTTTTTCTTATGTAACTGTAGCAAGAAAGTAGGTTATGCTTTTAATTTGTTTACTCCAAAAGTAAAATGATACAGACTACCAGTGACACAAAGTAGAAATTTCCAGAGTGATCTTGGGCTGGATGGATTAGAAAGAATTAATTTTTATTTCCTTTCAAGTGTTACACCTATTTCTATGGCTCACCCTTGGTTGATATTTGTGTCTTATTTAAAAACCATACACTAGAAAGATAAGCACCGCTTGCCAGAAAACTAAGACACTGTAAACAGGGCAATTTGGGTCAAAATTTGATGGAATAGTTTTGCATATTTGGGTCTAAATTTGCTCTGACTGTTACCAAAAGCGTGACTTTTAGAAGGGAGTCGACTATATACGGTTTTTATATCTATTTTTGTGGATGATATAGGGTGTATTGTGTTTATTCCTGTAGCTTTTCAAGCTTTGTTTGCCATATGAAGATCATGTCATCGATAAATATTCGATTACACGCTATCGGGGCATTGCTAAAGATATGTTGTAATGAATGTGTTCGCATAATTTGGGGCAAAGGGTTGCGGTACCTCAAGGGGGGTTAATAAAATTTACCATTATACTCTTCTTTATAAGAGCCAGTAAATTGAAGTTCAGGCTGAATTGTTCTTAATTTGTTCTTAAATTTATAGGGTAGGAGCAGCGCGATTGCTAGCTTTTTGCTCTAGGGAGGTGTCGAGACCTCATTTGCTAACAAAGTGCGTGGGAAAACCTTCATTTGCCGCCATGTCTGAACATTCACCGAAAAAGCACCCCAAGATGGCAAAAACTCCTCGTTTTTGAGTTCATTGTTCAAAGTTACATCTAACCATGCTTTAGGTTGAAATCAGCGCTTTGAATGGGCATAGATTTAAACATAACTTTGCCTGTTTAGGTTTAATGTGTGTCTGTGGCACTGGTAAAAAGGACAATGAGTATTTTCTCCTGCACTGCCCTCTATACAGCATGAAGCGCCAGGTTCTCTTTGACCAGCTCTCGGATATCGATGGATTCAATGTTGCCGATGTAAATATAAAAGACCTTTGTCATTTACTCTTGTTTGAAGATCGAAATTTGGGTACAGTTGCAAACAGAATTATATTACAAGCAACAATTTCCTTCGTTAAGGCCTCGGGAAGGTTAAGTTAATGCCGAAATACAGCAGCAGTACCCCTTTCTTTTCTTTCTCTAACATTTTATTTCTTCTTATTTTCTCTTTCTTTTTTCTTAGATGATGTAACTTGTTGTTGAATTGTATGTGGCATTCATGGTGAGGACTCGGTGACCTTGTGTCTTTCCTCGCCATGAATGTCACAGCTTAATGTAATTGTAGTTTTAGTAGTTTTAGTAGTTTTAGTTGTTCTTAATTTATATATATATAAATATATATATATATAAAGTTACTTTTTACGGTAGCTCAGCCTCAGCTTGTTCTTAATTCGCTTTCAACTTTTGACAAATTTTGAAGCTCGTGTTCTTTTAAAATTGTTCTGATAATAAGAGAGTGTGATGACAACCAAATTATGTTTGAGAATAAAAATCACCATCTGTTGTATTTTATATGCAGCAGGGTAGTTTCCCCATAATGATTTTTAATGGCATAGAGGGAAGCTTTGATACCCTTACCTTTTGAAATGCTAGTGTGTATATCGAAAGTGTGTTGAAAAAATGGGCGCATGCTCTTTGAATCCAGAATGGAGGGTTGCCGCACTCATTAAAAAACTTTCTCTTGCTCGTCTCCCCAAGGTTAAGCAAACACAGCGGTGAACTTGTGGACACACTGAGCAAGGACCTTTGCGGGAACAACTTACCTTGAGAAGTATTTCAGTGTTATGGGAACTGAGGGCCAGTTCCCAACATTTCCAACTTTTGCCAGGGCAAAATATGCAGCCACACCCTTCCCCCCAACAAAACGTATGAATTGACGCCCCTGGTCTGACAAACAAGGAATCTTAGATGATATTGGGTGAATACATCTACTAGAAATATGTGAGACAGCAATTTACAAATGTCCACTTCAAATTGTATGATTATTCCTTTGTATCTTGTCGCAAGTAATGCAGAACCAAAGGTATACAGAAGAATGGGAGTCATTGACGTCAAGAATTTTCGTATTAATTTTATTAGTGTCTGTCTATACGTTCATTTTCAACGTTTTTGACATCGCCCAATTTCCTATTGGAAACCTTTAGGTCGTCATATTAAAAGTTTTTTATCTTCTTCCAGGAAACTTTTACAAACGAGGCTTCCTTATTTCCGGACCTCGTGGGTCTTTGGTTGAATCCACCATTCTGTCATACTCTTGTTGCGACACCACAAGTGAAGGTCATACAACTAGTGAGTTACATTTATTACTTTTCGTAAGTCTCTTTAAAAGACAAGGATTACCTGTATTTCCGTGAAATACAAACGAGCTCGTTTTCTGATTTCCATCTTTTGAACGTGTATACGTATTCTCAGAGCATCAGCTTGAATTAGATTTTTTTGAATTTCGTGGCTAAAAAGGTAAGTTTAGAGTTATTTCATAACACATTTAGGTTTTCAATTCTTTGTGTACTAAATAGATATGGCTCATGTTAGTGGTCTTATATATTGACCTAGTAGTCTTATAAATTGATGTCGGAGTCGTGATTGGATTAGATTTCTATAAAGACCCGTATTCTCAAACAAGTATTCGCCTTGGAACGTTCAAAATTCAGATAACGCAAATCAGTTGTCTGTTTAAACCTTCGCAATCTTCACGCAAACCTTCAGTTAAACCATCAATAGGAGGATCAACTGTCGTGGTTTCAAAGCAGATGGCTGAAAATATATTTATGTTTGCAGTTGATGCTAATCTTCGATAGTTGGCGTTTTTCTGTAGGTGAATTAGCAGAGTTCTGTTTGACAACTTTATAAGATCTAGTCTTTTTGTTTAGTTCCTAAATGATGATCTGTTTAACTGAAAAGTATAACTTAAGAGCTAAAAGCTGCTTCCAGTCGGAGGAATTGGAATGCAATCAACATCGAAATTTTCTTTTCATAACAAACTTCGCGAATGCAGTTTGATCTTATTCAGGTAGAAGCAACTTTGTATCCATCATACTTTGTATCAACTCTGTAAATACTTTGAGAGTGTTAGATGTTGATAAAGCCATGAAAGTTATCAATCATATATCTATCTAGTTATCTAAATTAACTTATTTAAATAGCAGCGTTATCCCTGAAAAAATAAGTAACTTGAATTTAAAATATTTTTAATTTTTTTCCATAACTTCTTCAACAATTTATTTAATAGCCCCTTTTTTGAATCTTATCTTACGTTTTTTCATTCTTCCCTTTTTATAGAAATTAGATATTACTCTCTCTTCGTCAAATTCAATGAAAGGGGGCAGAGGGAAAGTTGCCCTGAGGGCTGCCGCTACCAAGGTTTTCTTAGAAATGTGAAAGGTATAGTCAAACGTCAGTTTGAACTGAAATCACCATTTTTACACAGGTAAAACATTAGGCTAGTTGCGACAAGAAGAGACTAGGCTAAAGGATGCAAGGTTGGGTAGGCAAGGGTATGCTAATCGAAAGAAGGAAAACTAAGAAAAGGCACTAGGCATTCACTTCTAAATAAAGAAAATAAACAAATATGGTTCAATGTTATTATTCAATATTGTCGCGAAATGGCATAGGGTGCATGCAACCTTTGTGCATATTTCTATAGGCTGCAAACAAGCTATTTCTTAGACAACCGAAACAATAGAGTCAGAGTCACAATTCTAAATAATTTAGACATGAGATATCCTGTTGGACGACCACTGGATAACTATATTAAATAATCCCTAGGTTGCCACAACTTTGATCATTATATGATCGCAGTTCGATCAATTTACATGCTCCAGACCTCCCTTCAAGAGGGCTGGTTAGAAGCAGACGAGATGTCGTGTATTCACAAAACCAGTGTCTAGCCTCTTTAAAAAATTCCGTTGTCTTTAAATAAAAAATCTTAAAAAATCTGTGGGGAATCCAATACCGCGTTGGAGTAAATGTATATTCCCTGTGACAAACTGAATAGATTCACAACCAAAAGTGTGTCTCTTTCACTGCTATGATAAGGTACGATTTTCAGCTCAGGCTCTTATGGTTATTCTCCAAAGAAATCAGCAATGCGTCGTGTTTATGTATCCATCGAATTTCATATAATAGATCATCAACTAAAAACCGAAAAAAGCCTACAGCAAGCTATTATACACTTATATACTGTTCAACAAGAAAGTTCTAGAATATACTCGTACAATATCATGTGTGCAGGACTACAATCTGGAATAGTTACAGCATGTTACGTAATGCTGTCAACTTGTCTAGCGTGTTCTACTTGTTAGCATTATCAAGAAATTACTCGAAAGGCCCCGTTAACATATAATGCAAGTATAATTGGTTAATTATTCGAAAAATTTGACAGAATGATTTTGAGGTGCTTACCCCCTACTCTTACCCTGGGTTCCAGAGCGTCAAGTGTAGCAAGTGGGGCATCGAGGAAATAGGGGGTTGCGGGAGAGATATATTTTGACTGGTGTACTTTCGGGCATTATCAATAAAACATAACCTAATCTGATTTATAATCGTGGTTATCATACGTTCGCATAATACGATCAGAACCACGGGGAAACAAAAACAATAGGGGTATGGATGGAACCAGAGCGTCTTCCTCTCTTCTCTCCTCCTGCGCACTCTCCCGCAACCCCCTATTTCCTCAACGCCCTATTTCCTCAACACTGACGCTCTGGAACATAGGGTACCCCTACTCAGTGGCGGAGCCACGGGGGGGACTAGTCCCCCCACTTTTTCAGAAAGTTGATCCTTGAGATTCTTGCAAACCCGAGGAGAAAGCGTCAGGGGGGGAGGGGGTATGTACGTTATCTAGATCGTCACATGTAAATGACATTTCTTGGGAGACAACAGGTGTTTCCTCCGGAAGAAAAAGTTTCAAACAGGGAAAAAGGGCGTGGTCCAAAAGGGCGTTGTCCCTGACACACCTTTTGTCCCCCCCTCCCACTTATCCCAGGCTGGAGCCGCCACTGCCCCTACTCTCTATTCAGCTTAGCATAACACCTCAGGATTGAAACAGGTAGATACGGGAAAAATCCTATTCCTAGGATTGATAGGAAATATCCGTATTGTCAATCTTTTAAAAGAACTGCTGTGGAGGATTAAATTCATTTTTTATTAGTTTGTCCCCTCAACGAGACTGCTAGGAATTATATGTCATCTATGATTTATTAAAAATTTCCCAGAATCTCACCCCTTGACCTTTGTGATAAGTTTATTTGGTTGTTGAGTCAAGAAGATACGGATTGTCTGATATCAATAGCTAATTTTATATCGCTGGCTTTTGAATCACGGGAATCTTTTGGGAAGTCCTCTATGTGCTTACAGAGTCACAAAAAGGAAGGTTGCTGCTCAGTGTCAAGAAAAGAGCTTTCCCCAAATTTTGAGATCTTAAAACTTAAAAATTAATTTATTAAGGCTAATTGAGGTAAGAAGCATCGGTGGATTTAAACCAACATGTTAACTTGCACATTTAAGATTGGATATATCTTCGTTATTTCCAATTGTTTAAGCGATAGGCCCCCAATACGGAACATTCCTCTCTTTTATTTTTCCCTTTCTTGATTATGGAAAAGTAAATTCTGCTGCTTGAACCAGCAGAGTTAGTGGTTGGAGAAGTAAATCATTGCAAATAAAAGGGTGTAACTTGAATGGAAGACATTTGGGGAAAAATTACAATTGGAACCACAAGGGTAGATTCTACAGCACATGTGTGAGACTTGTCCTGACGAATGGATGATAAGGTTTTGTATGGTAAGATCAGGAAAAGAATATACTTGGAGAAACAGATGCTTCAAAGATATGCTGGTTGAAGGAAAACAATTGTTGAAACTGTGAGAAGTTTGTTTGAGATAGCTGGGCCATGTATTAAAAAGGAATGGCAGACAATATTGAATCTGAAAGCAGTAGAGGAAGACTAAAATCAAAACTGAGCCGATATTTATAGTGGAGAAGTGTCATGACGAGTGTATGAAACAGGCATACGATTGTGAGTCTGAAAGCAGTGGAGGAAGAGCTACCCTGGGTACCAAAGCCACAAAACTTCGAGCGCGTAAGCAGAATGGCAAACAGAGAAGCGGTGGAGCGTTCCACTCCTATCTTCTATTTCGGCTCTCGAATTTATGTGGCTCTGGTACCCAGGGTAAGGAAGCGGAAGATCCAAATTGAGTTGATAGTCATAGTGGAGAAAGAGTGTCATGAATGTTTTGAACTTTGGAGATGAGAATGAGTGAAGTAGGGAAGATGTATCAACCTCTTGAAAAAGGAAAAATCCTGACTAAAATATATGACGATATTGTTGATGATGATTATGATGAATACCCACACACTTTGAGTTGAAAGTGTCATCCATACGTGCTTAAATCATAATAACGATATGCTGGCGCATCTGTTCTCGGTGATGATAAATGTTGTGATGTTAAATAAAAAGAAAAAGAGGTTTCTCACAAGCAATCTAAAAGGCACATGGCAAGAAGCCAAACTTGGCCATTTTTAGCCGTAACGGAAATCTTCCAGCCGTTTAGATGCAACTGATAGAATTATCTGACATTTCCACGTTTTACTTGACATTTTTTTATATTTCCAGTAAGAAGTTTTTCAGGTTTTTGAGACACATGAAAGTCTCGTCTATTTTGATCTTGACTTGAAACAGGAAAGTTTTAGAATAACCTTTATAACTCTTTATGAAACTCTCTTTTAGATTTTAAAATTACCCAAAAAAAGATGGAGAGGAAAAATAAATGAAACAAGGTTTAATAAGAAATATTAACATTGAACTATCAACTAAAAATAAACGATTAAGCAATTTTGAGCAGTTGGGGTATCATTTTGTTCGAAACTCCGTCAATTTGTGCTGGCACCAAGTTATTCTGGATCGTGTTTCTCGATCTATTTCCTAAGCTATTACTCATTGTACAACTTAGACAATGACCGATTTCTTTGATCAAATTCTCATATTCGATTTTAAATGGGACATCTTTGGTAAAGACATAGCAACCAAACAAAAGCAAAGGGCATATTTAAGATAATGCTAGGCACAGTTACTTACAGCATAGTTCATAGAGGAGAACATTAAACAAACATTTCCTTTCAAAAATAGCAAGTATTCCTCAATTTGTAAATCAATAAACTTACGTAGCCCAAAATCCCAATACATGCTCTTGCTTTTTATTCTGCTTCCTTGAGAGAACTGTGGCGCGAACGCCGAAGAGAGTAAAAGTCGACCATCGTTTCACACATGAATGAAAATGAATATAGCCAAT